GTATTCATAGAACAAATTCGAATTGCTTACACCGCGAGGTATTTACTGATTTAGTTTTAAATTCTCCTACGCAAGTCATATCTGTAGAGCTCGAGTACATAAATATTATTATTTAATACTAGCTTCTGCCATCGGCTTCGCCCGCGTTCCCGGGAGTCGCAGTCGCAGTCTTCGGCAGTCGCAGTTGCGACCACTCTGCCAACGAGGCAGTCGGTACCTCTCTACAAATTTATTATAACTATAGATCAATAACTTCATGTGAGGATTAACTCACTGCTACTATTAGAGGGATCTGGGTATTTCAATGTGAGTTAGTGAAGTTAAATATTAAACGTGTATCCCTACAGAGTTCATAGTTGGGGTTTACAGTTAATGGAATCTGCCACTCAATTAATTACTCAGTTATTACTGGCGATTCGTCGGAAACAAGCGTTTAACTGTTTTGAATTCTACGAATTTTCATTTCATAATCGACATCTTGATTAATTTAGGTAGGTAACTAATTATACGTATGGACAGAATCCACGAAGTCAGCATATTGTGTCTATAGCATTAGGAGTAATTAAAATTACTGATTTCGTTAGTAAATTGCAGTACCTATCTTAACGTTAACAGATTATCTATAATGGATGGCTACTGGTACTTGTAACAGTACTGTTGTATGTTCGAAGTACCTAATTAATTTTGCGAATTAATAGCAAGCAGAAAAATCTGATTTAAGATCCAATGCGATAGACATTCCTTTAAAATTGGTAAACGTATTTAGGGAGAGTTTTATTCATGGGCATGCATGGACAATATTGATCCCAGCTTCTCTGATTATCCTCCATTGTTGTTTGCCGTGTGTCGGCGAGGTACACGGCTAAACGAACCGTTATAAACTGACCGTTCAACGTGCGGAAAGATCATGTATAAAGAGACCAAGATAAAATAGTTCTGTGTAGTTTGATGTATGTGACAGCTGCACCACTATTCCACGAAGGAGGGGTAGCTCCCCGGAATATTGAGTGGACACACATGAATTGAGTATTGTGCTAAATATACGGGTTATTACCATACATAAGGGTTTTCCGTTAAACTGAATTTTGGTACGGTTATGTACCAAAATGTACTCGTGTGTGGGTTCGTAACATGTGGGTTTTGACAAGTGGTCATTGCAATCTAGACTGGATATTTCAAATAATTACTCTTTTTTTTAATCTTTACTTAATAAGAAGGGCTTTTTTTCTTAGAGAAAATGTCAGCCCTATTATAGGAAACAAATATTACAAAAGGTTTAACTAGCAATTAAGCTTAAACCCAAAATAATTAAATGATACAATTTTCTAGCCTCAGATGACAATGGTGACGCTAAAACCCTGTGATAGAAACCAATATTAAAGCTCTTAAAACTAAATACCTGATATCTCTGAGACTCAATACGTCGACACTTATATAAAATGTGTTGCACATCCTCTACAACATCGCACACAGCACAATTTGGTGATTCGACTTTATGCATTATGAATCCGAAACTATTAAGATGCATATGCCCAGATCGGAGCCTTAAAGCTGTGACAATTTCTTGTCTACTCATCCCACCTTCACCGAACCAGAGAGCATGAGGAAGTGTCAGTTGTATTATTTTATACCAAATGCGTTTTTTTTTATGGCATAAGCTGGTAACCGTGCAGACGGATCACCTGATGGTAAGCAATCGGCGTCGCCCATGGACACCTGGAACACCAGAGGCGTTACATGTGCGTTACCGGCTATTTGGGGATTAGGAGTTTGAGGATCGTTGGGGATTCAGGGATTGGGGAGATTGGGGACGGGGAAGGTAATTGGGCCTCCGGTAGCCTCACTCACACGACGAAACACAACGCAAGCGTTGCTTCACGTCGGTTTTCTGTGAACAAGAATTATACTTCTCAAGTCGTAAATGCTCGTCAAAATAGCGTAGCAAAATTGCCGTAATGAATTAAAGTCGCTCAGTTATAACCACTTCTGTATGCATGCAATGCCCTGCGAATAGATAGTATATCTGATCTTAGTTCGAAGAATCTAGGTCCTAGGTATTAGTAGACCTCTACATATGAACAGAGTTTCGATACCTACTAAGAACCTTAGCTAGTCGTCATAGGTAATTTAATATCTTTGCACGTGTGTGCGTCTAACAATCGTACCAATTGAGCTGTCCGAAATAGTTTGAATCCGAGAATCTACCCACCCATCCTTTCATACGTAGACTTCGTTACGAATATAACTTGTATTGCTAAATAGGCGACCGGCCATGCGTTGTTTTACTTACCACGAAACACAACAGTTAATATGAAATGCTAACAATTATTGTTTTACTAAGAATTCAAACTGTTTGTGTTATCAGTTTCAAAGTTAATGTCGGATACCTACGTTCTACGAATTCGTTCTTTTCGTCGTAAATAAATTGTAATGTATTATTATCATTTACTTGCCATCATAATTTTCGAGTGATGCGAGCTTTTCGTGAATTTTTGGGATGCTATAATTTTATTGGGGACAAGTACTGATCACAACTACGTTCTGTTCCATTTCTCAAGATTAAACTGTCAAACACCAAGCGGTCACCGGTGACCGCAACCTATTGTTCTATAATTATGTCTATAATGACGGTATTCGACGAGTTAATGGACCATTATGTTATAATTTATAAGGGCCTGAAAATCAATGGAGCTTGTTCCAAGCATCAGGCTAATAAGTCGAGACACTATTGGTTTATTGGACTAACAATCGGAATACGTACGAAATTTTAGCAACTTACATGCTAAAAACAACAACAACAACAATATACATGCTAAAATTTCGTAATACCTACTTATACTATATAGTGCACATAACACCTATTGATTGATGTATGCATATTTTATGCTGAAGGTAATTTGGTAAAAAGTAACTCGAAGAATATTTAAATTTCAATCCTGTAAAATTCTTTATGTAATAAATTATCTTTTGTTGTTTCCATTGTATCGGGTCGGGCGCTATTTCCTTTTAACTTTTCCAATGAAGCCTTTTTGGTATTGTAACAAAACTTCTTGCTTTACTGAAAACATACTCGATAAAGAAAACAAATTTTAAATTGATTGAAATTCGAACGATTTCTGTTCTACGAACTGTCTTTATTGCTGAGAAGGTTCGCGAAACTAATTAGCAATCATACTTCAAACTTACAACACGCAGTGAAAAAAAAATTATTAAAAACTCAAAAAAAGTGAAAATATTCAACAAGCTCGCCTACCCCATACAGTATTTGTTTGCGACGGTTGAGTTGTTCGGTGCGCAGATCACGACAAGATGCCTTGCTACCCGTGCTGTAGTCCGTGCTGCAGTCCTTGCTGCGGCCCCTGCTACTCGTGCTGTTCGCCGTGCTGCTCCCCGTGCTGCGGCGGCTGCTGCTATGGCGGCTGCTGCTAGAGGCGACTGGTGCGCGGGCGGGGCTCCGAGGGGAGACAGGGCAGACGAGTTGGGAGCGCGATCACGCCAGCGCTGATGCTCCGTTCAGAGCGTATGGCTCCTCGTTGCTTGCGGAAGTAGCGAGTCGGAACGTCGAGCGGGCGCCAAGTTGGGGGCCTCTAGGAGCTCGGAGGTTCGTTCGCTGCCCGAACTCTGTCCGCGGTGTCTGCCGTCGGGATGTACTGCAACTAGCGATCCAATCGGCTGACTACGGCGACCCTTGAGGGCCTCGACCTCCTCCAGTTCCGAAGATGTCGCGGTTATGCCGTTCGCAGTCATTAAACAGTGTTTTATGTCTGGATTTTTGTATAAATATACGTTCAGGTCACATACACATCTGGTTTAATTTTATTAATAGGGCACCGAATCCCTTCAATTTAGGGGCTCGTACACAACGATGCGACGCGATGCGAATTCGCAACGCAGTAATTACGATGCGAAATTGCTGCGATGCGATTCGTGCGACAAGGCGTCTCCCAGGGTGACCATTCGTTGACCACCGTCGACCGTACTAAACGTATTTTAAATGACTAGGTTGTGACATGGATCGTAAAAGAGTGTGCACTTCTGTTATTGCTTAAATAGATACGGGAAAAAACAAGATTTTGGAAAAGACAGAATTTTGATGCGTGATGCTAATCAATTGGCAAGTTCTTGCGATGCGTAGAGCCGAGCTCGCCCATTTTTGCGCGATGCGACGACGCATCGTAGTTTTGTGTAAGAGCCCATAGTATTTTGTTGGCTGGCCCTCTGTAGGTACTATAGTTGGTGTGGGCTGTCCCTCTGTGTAGGTACTATGCGGGTGAGGGCTGTCCCTCTGTGTAGGTACTATGCGGGTGAGGGCTGTCCCTCTGTGTAGGTACTATGCGGGTGAGGACTGTCCCTCTGTGTAGGTACTATGCGGGTGAGGGCTGTCCCTCTGTGTAGGTACTATGCGGGTGAGGACTGTCCCTCTGTGTAGGTACTATGCGGGTGAGGACTGTCCCTCTGTGTAGGTACTATGCGGGTGAGGGCTGTCCCTCTGTGTAGGTACTATGCGGGTGAGGGCTGTCGCTCTGTGTAGGTACTATGCGGGTGAGGGCTGTCTCTCTGTGTAGGTACTATGCGCATGAGGACTGTCCCTCTGTGTAGGTACTATGCGGGTGAGGGCTGTCCCTCTGTGTAGGTACTATGCGGGTGAGGGCTGTCCCTCTGTGTGGGTACTATATGGGTAAGGGCTGTCCCTCTGTGTAGGTACTATATGGGTAAGGGCTGTCCCTCTGTAGGTACTATATGGGTGAGGGCTGTCCCTCTGTGTGGGTACTATATGGGTAAGGGCTGTCCCTCTGTGTAGGTACTATGCGGGTGAGGGCTGACCCTCTGTAGGCACTCTGCGAGTGACAACTGTCCTGTGTAGGCACTCTGCGAGTGATGGGCTGTCCCTGTGTAGGCACTCAAGAGGGCTGTCCCTCTCTGTACCCTAGAATCCAAGATTTCATGAAGACTACGTACCTATGTAAAATAGCTGCAAATAATAACTCACTTTCATAATTTCATTTGGACAATTTTATTTGGACAATATTCACGTATGATTTGACAATACTATACTCCGTGAGGAACCACAGTATGCTGAGGGCTGACAGGGTCACGAACGTTAGTAGGGACAATGTTAAGTGAACGTTCCTGTTCCGTATGTAACTGTCGCTGGGCCACTCGACTGCGATCAGCTCCTGTAGGCAAATATTGGAATATCAAAATAACATTATCTTAAATTACTTCTTCAAGGAGCGGTATCTGGGGCCTGTGCTGATAGCCACTGTTTTTACAGGGCAAACAATCATCATTTTCATCATTTTCATCACCGTAACCTCCGCAAAACGTGCACTGCTGAACATAGGCCTTCTTCACCTTCCAGATCGATCGGTTGGAAGCGACCAACACTTCGCCAAACTACCTACTCTTAAACTGTTCTGCTTACCTCACTAGCAGGAGAGTCCACAGCATGGTCCTGGCAAGGGTCCACAGGGGCCGCAGCCTCCAATGGAGGGGTGGCAGCAGTTGGAGTATAAGCAGTAGCCGCCGCTATGGGCGCCGCCGTAGTATCCACCATAGTAAACAGGCATTGTGCTTAAACTAAATAAACTATCAGAAAAATATCACAATAAATATCTTCTTTTTATTATATTTTTTGATTTTTGTTTGTTAGGGAGAAGCGGTAGTCGTTCAGATCATCAAGTTATAATGCCCGAAGATGGCAGATCGTGTTCCATTTTTGAACAGTTGTCAAATTATGAGTTTTCGACCAGCACGACCTTTGTGATATTTTCTTTATTATGTCATCTAGCATGTTTCTCGTAAATAAATAAAGTTCACTATTCATTACACCAACCTACTTTCTTTCTTTTGTATCTTCTTCTTCTTTCTTCTCTCTTTCTTCTTCTTCTTTCTAACCGTGAGCAGAGCTGAGCCGTACAATTCCGTCTTGTCCATATAGAGGAATTCAAAACTGTGAGACTTCGAGGGTTCAAAGCCGAGGGTCGCAGTAACCCTTTGGTTTACTTTTTATCAGAATTACAAATTGATTTTCATTGCTTGATGAATAAAGTAAAGTAGTTGTAACTTTCGTGAGACATACTGAAAAATGCCAGAGGCTCATATTCATGAGCAGCATTTCGCGACCCGCGACGCGACGACTGTCGCGCTGCTACTTGCATGGCTTGAAACTAGTCGAGTTCCTCGTTAAATTATTACGTGAGTAAGCCGAAAACATAATAAAGTAAAGTAGGTATAAAAAAGATCATAAAGTAAAATTGGATCCCGTAAACTGGAAGTCTTCTCTTCATCTTTCTGATCTTTAAGTCAAGAGCAAAAAATCTTGGTGCTCCATCGTAGACCGCATCATCGCTGGCCTGTAGCCAAATGCCATTTAGCGCTTTTAGGAGAGATAGTGGTCAAACGTTGGCCCATCTAATATAAAAAGACACTATAAAAACCCTTTACAACTGGCCACAACAGCTCTTGATAAAGAAACAAGACTGTCACCAGATTTCGAAACATACAACTGTCAAAAATCATCAGTCTGATATCTGCTGCGAAGAAAAATTATACAAAAAAAGCTTGAAAAAAATCTTAAAATTCTACAAAAACAATACAAACATAGTTTTAAATTATAGAATTTAATATTTTCTATAATGCCTTACCAGTACGGTTGTTACCGGGATTTTAATCTGGGAACGTTTGCTCGGTGTCCGGGTGGATGTGACCCACCCATGTGCAGATGTTGCTGTCAGCCCTGCGTGCAAGGATGTTGCTGCTGTCCCACAGGACCGTGCTACAACTGCCACTGATCTGTCAACAAGACCACGAAACTGTTCTGTTTTGTAATAAACGAGTCTGAAAGCGATTGTTGTTTTGTTGTTGAGACACTCCAAGTGCTCTCTGCACTGTAGGATCTTTATAGTGCTTTACCTGAATTCATTTCCACCACATGTCATGTGTCAACCCACTGTAGAATGTAGGTAGTTTGTGGTCTAGGTGACTCAGGAGGGAATCTATTGCTAAAAACTGCATAATTCTGTTTCAAAGATTGAAAGATACAACGGAGTTATTAAATTGAAAACCTGCTTGCCCGTGACGTCACCGTGGGTCGTTTGCTGTTGAGTTTTGAGGTAAAGTATGAAGAGATACAAGGTATAAGGTACATGTGTGTGGTAGATGTTTCTTAATCAGTTAATCACGCTGAAACTACTGAACGAATTTTGATGAAATTTGGTATACGGGCAGGGTATGAGCTGACTTAGGTGATAGGATATCCCATGCTCCCATGGGATAAAACAGCAATACGTGGGCAAAGCCGCGGGTAAAAGCTAGTAAGTTTCTTGTTCGACGACGTACATATTGCGTATACCGAAACTACACTAGGGACCACCATTCATGGAAGCCCTTTTGGACGCTTCTGTCGGTCGGGGAACAAAAAATATTATCTATCAATCTTCAACATAGGTATCTCAACTTTTTTAAATCATAGAAACATTTACATAAAGCAAGCCAGACGTATGGAGCTCACAAGATTGATTACCTGCCACGTGTACCGCGGTGGCATACGATATAAAAATGTCACGATTACCAGAAATATACAAAAATAGACCGTGACTTTGTATGGGGAACATTCGTGGAATGGGACCCCTCGCCGACATCACTGGAAACGACACCCGCATCTATAAAAAAATCCGCTCTATCCTGACCTACGATAATATCACGATGATAAACACAACACAGATCAATGTAAAGTGGTTAGTGTTTTTGTAGGAAATGGGGAAATTTTCGGATTCGCCGAATAAGGTCGAAGACCGCTGTGAACACGTAATTTGCTAGAATTGTAGAGGTGAAATAAACAAAGTGGCGACGCGGGTCGCGGCATTGTCATTGGGAAAACTGAATTCATTGGTTCCACGACATCGGCCCCTATTCTGAAAACTTACTTTTGTGGGACATGCGTATCACAGGCCACTGACCTTTGCTGTCCATTGAACAATGTTTGCCCTTTTGAGGTTCATATTAATGTTTTTTGGTTGTAAAGCAGAAATATATGTAGTACCTACCTACAGATATATTTTATTAGAATGCACGGTTGGCGCGATAGCTGTGCAAAATGGCTGCTGTGTTTATCATGGTTTGATGTCCGAAAGAAACAACAAATAGTTATATTATTTTTGTGACCTTCAAATTGTAAATTCAGGTCTGGAGATAAGGGAATGAGAAGAAACAAACTCCTCGTGCCGAAATGATAAATAGAAAAACAACAAACGAAACATGAGTCGTTACTTTACGTAGAATCAATAAATAAGTAGAACGTAAAACACCAGTAGGTACCTACCTATTCGCTTGAACATAGTACATACCTACAGCTAATGTACATGTTCTTAGTAAGTATGTACCTAGATACAGTGTAATGTAGTATCAATATCAGAGTACGTTGTAACATGTAATTTACTTCAAATAACGTTATATGACGAACGACAGATGCTCTCGGTATCATATTTATCGATTCTGAAAAATCGATTAATCTCTGAATGATTAATCTCTGATGAATTCCTTGAATTATTCACTCGATATCAGATGATGTTCATAACGATGCAACTATAGTTATAATAATCACGAGAATACTTAATTTTTATTACTTTGCCAAATCCAAGAAGTAACTTTACGATTTCTAAGAAACTACATTAACTGTGTAATGTTAAATACACGCGAAATACATTAAAAGAGAAGTCATGTGACGAAATATAGTTTTATCGCGGGTACATCGCTCGGCACTTCCGGCCGCCATTATCTGATGGTCACACAAAATGACCGAACTTCCTTTCTCGCGCACCTTGACGGCGAAGAGAAATGGAAGGTGTTTAATTAACAACTTTATTAACACGCTCGTCTCTAAATAATGGAGTGTTTCTTGAAAATGTTTTTCATTTTGTGAAGTTGTCTGGTACTTTACATGTGGCGACTGATATCTCCCCTTCATAATTAACGTACTGCTATAATGACATCCTTATTTCAAGGACGAATTCTAAGAAATAGAAATGAGACGAGAAAGTGAAATAACTGAACAGAATATAAAATAGACTCATTTATTCACGAAACAGCACGACTTTTGTGACGTCACCACCGGGGTCATCTTCAACAGCAACCACAGGGCCTGTATCTCCAACTGTAGGTGCCGAAGGGCCGGCCGCAGGGGCCCCTGCATATGCCACCACAGGGGCCACAAAAAGGGGCTGGGTAAGCGAGACCCGCTACTTGGCAGTTGCAAGGAGTGCAACAGCAACAGGGTCCACCCCCACAATATCCCCCTCGGCAAGGCCCACAGTTCCCACAGGCCCCACAACATCCACCGCAGCATCCTCCGCAGCATCCATATCCACCACAACACATGATGATGTTATTTTATAAGAAAATGCTCGTCTAAAAATATTATAAGATTTTTGTAATACTTTTAAAGATTTTTACGATTTTTTATAATTTATTGAAGTTTTTTTACTAAAACGCTATGGTCTGTTTCGTGAATTATTGACATAAACGTTTGTTTTTTTATTCAACACAGAGTAAGTCTGGGATCTCTATGGTTTCTAGCAGCCAGTGTGCCTGTGCTCTGGTTGAGTAGAAACTAGAAACTATGCGTTGCGAGTGTCTGTGTTGTTCTGAGAATGTTCATGTTTGAGAATAATATAATATTAGGACTTGAACTTAGTACCTAGCTTCTTTTCTCTACAACTTGCTGGTTAAGTTAATACTTTGTAAGTATAGACTTATTGGCTCGAAGTGGAGCAGTAGGAACGGGGTGGTTTTTAGTCAGTAAGAGTCTGACACTCCCTCTCGCCTCACCCGGGCGAGAGAAGTTATTGGATGATTTTCCCCCTCAAAAAAAAGGCAGGTATATACCTACTATATTCTTCTTCTATAGGTTTCTGTTGAAATAAAACGATTTTTAAAATGAGCACTGGATTAAAAAAAATCCAATACAATATTGCTCTTTCCTAGTTTTCCAAACTCTTTCGACTGTTCTTTCACAGTAGGTAAGCTTAAGTTTTTACTTACCAGAAGATTTCTCTATGGCGGAAAAGAAGTTTCGAATTTCGAACTTATTATTCAACGTCATTTTATAAAAAAATCTTGACCTCTGTTCAACAAGTAAAATCATCAAAAAAATATTGAATAATACTTTTATAGAAAAACTTTTGTAAGTACTTATAAACATTTCCTTTTATTGTAGATGTAGCTATTGAAGTAGAAAAATATCAAGGAGGACTTTACTCCGTAAAAATAGCTACTATACCAACCTATGTCAACAAATGTGTCTGCTACACTACTATAGAAAATTACTTTTTTCAGTTCACTCGCGATGCCTGTACGTAACTGCTGCGTAGGATGTCAGGGACCCATGGCAGGGCCGTGTTGCGGGGGGCCCTGCTCGCGGCGTATGGACTGCGGCGCGGGCCCCTGCTGCGTCCATTCCGTAGGAGCTTGCTGCTCACCGTACTCTGGAGGCATCGGATGTTTACATGGGTGAGAATTGAAGATATTACTTACTTTTAATCAAATTTCAGTTAAAACACAAAATGACAAAACAAACTCGCGACTTAATGGGTTACTGGAGCTCCGGCTCGAAATACAGGAGTAGGAACGGGATGGTTTTTAGTCAGTAAGAGTGACACTCCTTCTCGCCTCACTCGGGCGGGAGAAGTCATTCGAAGATTTTCCCCCTCAAAAAAGGCCACTAACACTCCTGTTGGTCAAAGCACTCTGAGTTGGCACCGAATTTACATTTGAACTACCTATGCAATAAAATTATCAATCATGATTCCATGTTACAAATTGGTG